CCATGTTATCATTCCCGGTAATAACAATATCATCTACATACACCACCAATAGTATTTTTCCTCTCGGAGAGTCATGATTGAATACAGAATGATCAACTTGGCATTGTTTCATACCAAACTTCTTTACCACCTCACTGAACCTACCAAACCATGCTCGAGGAGACTGTTTAAGCCCATATATAGTCTTCCTTAGTCTACACACCTTACCATCCTCCCCCTGAGCAACAAACCCTGGAGGTTGCTCCATATAGACCTCCTCGAGTAAGTCACCATGCAAAAAGGCATTCTTAATATCAAGCTGATATAGCGGCTAATCATACATAGCTGCAAGAGAGATCATAACATGAACTGACCCTATCTTAGCAACTGGTGAGAAGGTCTTTGTGTAGTCAATACCATAGGTTTGGGAGTACCCTTTTGCAACCAATCGCGATTTCAGACGTTCAACACTACCATCAGGCAGATACTTAACTGTATAAACCCATTTACAACCAATAGCTTGCTTCCCAGGAGGAAGAACGGTGAGGTCCCAAGTATGATTATGATGAAGGACTAAAAGTTCTTCCATCGCACGGAACCACCCTGGAGAGGCAAAGGCTTCTTGGACATTCTTAGGGACAACAACTAATGATAACAAGGTGACAAACTGGCGATGGGAGACGGAAAGGTGAGTAAGTGAAACATAATTAGAAAAAGGATGAAGGGTGCAAGTGTGTTTACCTTTTCGTAGGGCAATGGGGAGATCAAGCTCAGATGCTGGGTTCGGGTCTGGAGCCGGATCTGTCGATGGTGATGTAGCCAGAGGAGTAGTAGCTGGTATGCGTGGGCGATATGTATACACTTGACGGATAGGTGAGCGTTCAACAGGTGGTGGCACCGGAGGCAAGGATTTGGTCATGACTAGAACAAGGGGAAGAGGGTTGACAATGGGAAGTGGAAGAGGAGGAGGTGACGAGGAGGAAGAAGCATCACCGGATCCCAAAAAGAACGGAATAGACTTAAAGAAGGTGACATCAGCACACACAAAGGACCGTCGAGAACTAGGATGGTAACACTTATACTATTTCTAGGTCCGAGAATAGCCAAGAAAGATGCACTTGAGAGAACGGGCATCAAACTTGTCGTTCCCGGGACCTAGATTATGGATAAAGCAGACACACCCAAATACCCTAGGTGTAAGAGAAAATAGAGACAAGGCGGGAAACAATATCGTAAATGGAGAATGACCATCAAGGATGAACGTTGGCATCCAATTAATCAGAAAGCAAGAGGTAAGCACTGCATCACTCCAAAAGGGTTTGGGAACATTCATGTGATGCATGAGGGATCGTGTTGTTTCCAAGAGATGGCGATTCTTTCTCTCAGCCACCCCGTTTTGTTGTGGGGTGTAGGTRCATGAGKTMTGATGTATAATGYCGTGTTGGTCCAGGTATTCTTGAAATGATGAGGATAAATATTCACGGCCATTATTAGAATAGAAAACTTTAATGTGAATACCAAATTGATTACGAATCTCAGCATAAAATTTCTGAAAAATGGTAAACAATTCACTTCTTTCTTTCATTAGATAGAGCCACATCATCCTTGAAAAGTCATCTACAAAAATGACAAAATATCTATATTCATTATATGGCATTACTTTATAAGGACCCCAAACATCAGAGTGAATCAAAGAAAAAGGACTCGACACACGGTTATCAACCCTAGAAYTAAAGGGAACACGATGGTGTTTCCCAAACTGACACGACTCACAATCCAAAACAGAAAGTTAACTCAAARACAGAACCAAAGACTTCAAAACTTTTAGCGACGGATGACCAAATCGGTAGTGCCATTGGAGAGGAGAAAGGGATGACTGGAGAGCTGTCGAAGTTCTTCCACCAGCTTCATGCCCTCCACTAGTCTTCATCCCCGTCTTGAGATCCTAAAAAACACACATATAAGGATAAAAAGTAATGGAGCAGTTAAGTGATTTGGTCAGTTTATTAGCAGACATAAGATTAAAAGGCAATTTAGGAACATACAAAACTGAGGAGAGGGATATAGGGTCAAGGTCAACATTGCCAACACCACAAATTAAGGATGTGGAACCATTAGCAAGGGTGACAGATTGTGATGTTGAGCAATGAGATAGGGAAGAAAACACACCTGGAGTTCCAGTCGTGATCAGAGGCTCCAGAGTCAATGATCCAGTGATTGGGTGTGGATGCCAAACAAGTCATACCTGAGTGAGCGAAAGTTGTCGTGTTCTGTTGTGATGTGGATTGGATAAACCTCTCATATTCATCACGGGGAACACTCACCATCTCCTTCACGGGACCATCTGTGRATGTAGGAGGTATCTGATCAGATGAACGATTCTCCTGTCTAAAGCTGGAACTGGTGTCACTAGTCACGACATGATTGGCTCAGGTTGAGGGTGGACCATGTAGATCATAACAATAGTTAATGGTATGTCCATCCATACCACAATGAGTGCACCTCCTCAGGCCTGAGCCACGATCTCTACCATGAGCTCCCCCTAAATCTCTGCCCCCAGTACGACCACCACCACGATTATCAGTAGGCCCACCATTGCCATTTCGGCCATTCACTGGACCACTACTACCACCACAGCCAGAATGAGCTCCCCGGGCTCCACCTCTAGCACCACGACCTCTCGACACAGCAAAGGTAGATCTATCTGAGATATTAGAGTTCTCAGTAAATCCGATAGAAGTCCTCCGGAGTCGAGCAAATACATCTTCTAAAGAAGGGAGAGTTGATCCTCCTAGTATCTAAGCCCGTACTGGTTCATGTTCAAATTTCAGTCCCACCAAAAATTGAGTCACATCAAACTGTTCTCTCTATTGTTGCTGAATTTTGACATCAGAAGTGAGAGGGTGATAGACATTCAACTCATTACATATGTTTCTCATACTGGCATAGTACTCCTCAAGACTCAGATTGCCCTGTTGCATATTAAAGTACTCCTGATACAGCTTATACACTCTAATTGTATTGTCCTGACCCGAATACAATTTCTTCGCATGGTCCCACACATCTTTGGCAGTGTCAAGAAGCATGAAATTTACACTAATCATGGGTTCCATACTATTCCATAACCATGTGATGATCTGAGCATCCTCTTGCTCCCAGTCTTCATACTCATGAGAGTCAGTGAATGGTTTCTCCTCTCTTATGTGTTTTACCTTCTTCTTTGCGTTCAGAAAGACTTCGAGGGATTTAGCCCAAGGCACATAATTCTCTCCATTTAGTTTAATGGAGGTCATCTGAACATTCAGGTAGTCTGTAGGCACCATCACATTAGGTTTACAATCACTGTTATCTCTCATTCTATTATCACTGATTCTGCACACTTGTTGAATTCTATTATCACTGAATTCTGCACACTGCACACGACTAGATCACACTCATCACACTGATTTCAACACTTGTTGTTGCTGAAAATTGTACTCTTTACACCACAAACCCTACTCCTATGGCTACCTAAAATCTCACCACTGTATGATCACAACTCTTCCTTCAAAATACACAAAAGCAGCATAAACCCTAGCACGCTACTGTCTGAAACCCCAGCATATGATCTGAAACATACTTCTTATTTGATCCATAACAGAAATCATGCATAGAAACCTCTTACCTTATCACTGAATGAACAACCACACGAGCAGAAAATCAGTCCACACAAGACAGCCATTGCACCACACAGATCGGCCCTCTTTTCTTCATCGATTAGGGGAGGGTGATCTTAGAAACCACAGCAACCGACCACACAAGACACGATTGGAGGCATAGAAACCTCCAAGGGGAGAGAGCGATCACTCCTTTTCAGCCCTTTCCCTTATCTCCAATTGAATGCAAGAAAATCAAGAAAAACCCTAGATTGGGTGCGTAGAGAATAGAAATCTAGGCAAACAGAAATCTAGACAGATTTGAATAGCTCTGATACCATGTTATGATTCGGTCTGCCTTGGAGTTCTATTTGTCTAAGATCAGTCACGTAGAGAGAGGTAGAAAGGTGGACGAAAGAGAGAGAGAGAGAGAGAAGGAGAAAGTCTGGTTCGAACTGGAAGTCAAAAAACCTAACTTCTATTCGGCCAAGCATGTGCTTTTATTATTAAATTAATGGAAAAGACATATGTGCCCTTATTTAAATAAGGAGCACTGGTTCTAACATAATATTACAGATCATCAACCTTAATACAAATATAAAGATAGAAATACCCCTAGGCTAACAAAAACCATTTGGGTAAAAGCCAAGGCTAACAAACTTTCTGTCAAGGAATTTTGTTTTAAGGAAGCCATGAATCGCATAAATCGTATTTGTGATCAGCAACTCAAGTGGATTAAAATATCTTAGAAACTAAAGGTTCGTCCTAGATTTAGGTTGTTGTGGAGGATTGCTCGTGGTTTTGTGGATATTTAAGATACTTTTGTTCAAAAAGGTATTGTTTAAGACACTAATTATGTTTTATTGTAGGGTTCTAAATGAGTCCCTTTTTTTCATATTTTTGGCGAATGTGTAAATCAGGGACTAGGGTGTTACCATAAGCCATAGAGTGGATTGTGGTTATGTTGTTTGTAGGGGTGATGGTGGAATGGTTGATAATAAAGTGGGATCTTTTTTTTTTTTTGGCTGCGTTCTGATTTAGGTTGATTTTTTGCGACTATATGGTCAACATTTAAGCTCTGTTATGGTGTGGAGGAATCTGAGCAGTGGATTTTTAAAAGGCATTCCAGTCTTCATTTCAAAATATAACGTTTACCACCGGCTTTGCACTGTTTCTTGCTATCAGTAGTAGTTTGATTCTGTCCCAGGGCAGCCCCTATAATTTAGTACAAGCTTTCAAGATTTGCCCTCACGGATGTTACAGTTACATACACACGCTTAGTTAATTACTAAAAAATTCCTATTTACTCATAAAACCGCATTCATAAACTTTGTTTTTATGTTAAACGAAGAGCTGATCTGTTTACCTTCAAATCTACAAAGGAAATGACAAATGTAAAAGAATTTCCCTTCACTATAAATGAAATGTTACTGAATACAAACCTCTTCAAACAAAATCAGTATTGTGCTTATCCACAATAAACATGTAACAAGTTTTGCCATGCTAAAAAATGACAGAAAAATTACAAAGAACTTTTGATACACAATGCTGCAACACACAAGAATTTCCTCTCTTTCCTTGTAGTTGTTAAAAACAAAAAATCAAGACAATGACCTACTCTTGTACCATGCCCCCTTCCCCCAATATCATTCTTTACTTGAAACACCCTATTCTTCTGACCTCCATGACTACTTTTGTAAGCCCAACGGTAACATGAAAACCACTTTACAATATGCTTCCGGTGCAGCAAACACTGCCAAAATCCAAGATTGCAAAGAGTTTGTCCAGTTTCAGATTTGCTAATCTCAGACAAGACCTGAAAACATCGATTTCCCACCACCACTTTACAGCAATCCTGCATTCATGAAAAAATGTCATGTCAGGTTCATAGACAATTACCTGACCATCATCTTATAGTCACCAAAGCCTTATCCAGCTTACATGGAGATAGCTCTGAAAAACCTGTTTGGCCATTTTACTCTATCTAATTTCAGTTATTAAATCTTTCTTTAATACCTCAACCTATACCTTTTTATCCATTCCCTTGTCCTTCTATAGACTTAAAATGAATCACTGTGATACCACTAATCTTCATATTCAAATTACCAATATCAGACTAAGTTCCACCAAAAAAGCATTCCTAATTGGCCAATCCCAGTCTTGGCACCTATCCATCCCCACATACTGGAAACATGTCTTTCAAATACAGAGACTTCAACTTCACTTGTACAGCCACAAAAGAGTTACTGATCAAACTTTGCTCCCATTTTAAATACAAAACATGTCAGAAAAAACAAATTTATCATCATTTTCAGTACAAAAATGTATCTTACCAATGCCAGAAAAACTGAACCAGAGTGCAAATTTACTTTGGTTCAGCATTTGCAATCTTACCAAATGTAGTGTAATGTTAAAAGAGTGGTTCAATCCTTTATAAACATGTATAAGAGTCATTTAGGTATATCTAGTAGGTAAGAAGAGAGCCAATTGATGTAAAAGATGGAAAAATAATGTGTTCCCAGCTATGATACCCAGTTACCTGTAAAAGGTGTTGTGTCTTGTCCTATACTTTAAATTTTTAGTGCAAAATTTGCATCTGATAGTGTACACACTGTGGTCTTGTCATATCTGGGTAACATAGGAGCCCAGGCATTCATTTAACAATAAACTGAGCCACTTACGTTTCCATTTGGTAATTCTTGAAATTTACTCACACTAAGGTCAGAATTAAAGAAGTTTCCAACTATGGAGACAACAAAGAAAATCAAAAAAGAACTTAAATTTCAGAAAGAATACCTCACTTATTTCTGATTTCCCCTCCGTGCCATAATATTGCGTGGCATGTGGTGGATACAGCTGAATTTGCAGCAAAGAAAAACTGGCAATTTTAAAGATTTCACATTATATCTGCTAGAGCCTGTAGACGAGGTTTTGCCCTTACAATTGTCTCGTCACTGTGCCTGATCCACTCGGAGAGTCTCCATGGCTTTTGCCATTTCCACTTGAACTGTAACAACCATTGATGATGACTCCTCTTCCACCTCCAAAGCTTCCCAGATTGTCCTACAACTGCCAGCTTTTTCATTGACAACTGCCCAATTGGAACCATCTGCAAAAACAAGAAACAACAATTTCTTTTAAACCAAACAGAAAGTAAGAAACTAAAAATCCAATGCAAAGACAATTCGGAACAGGAGACTAACCTTTCGTGACTGGTCAAGAAATGCTGCTGACTCTTTAACCGAGCCATTAGCAATACCTGGAGTATACTTGAGCTGTTTCTGTGCTGGAACTGACATAGGAGACAAAGGCCCACTCGTATCATCAGCAAAGTGTTTCAATGATCCATGTGAGTTCCCCTGTTCATTTTAATCCAGAAAGTGTTAGTAGGACAGTAACCACAATTATAGGATAAATTGATCTGAAGATTTTAAGCATGAGTATGAAGAAACCATGATGAATTAGTCTTAAAATTTAAGCATGGTCTCAAGAGATCAAATGATTTTTCTTTTCTTTCCTTTCCTTGTACATTTTTTTTTTTTTGTTGAGAAACCATTCTTTTTTTCCCAAAAAGAACAGGGGCATGTTTTGTTTTCTATTCTGTTGCTGATTTTGGTGAAAATAAGGCAAAAATTTGTTTTGTCTAATCAAATTAGCTGTACAAGTAAAATGACAATACTTATCATATGAATGCCTTATTTCTTAATCGTGGTTAATGCAACACACCCTATGATACATCCAGCTCAAATGTTAAGCAGTTTGAAAATTTTAATAACTGTTTATTCTATAGCCTAAGATACTAATGTATTTGTCTGTCACATGATTAAATAAAGAAAAAAAAAGACAGGTCTCCATTATCAGATATAATCGCACCGAAGCTGACGTAGCCAATGCAATGGCAACAGCTTGTTCTCTCAGCTTTTGCTGCTTTTCAATTTCTTTTCTCTGTGCTTCACTCTGCCGTAGTAAGCCTACGAGTTCATTCAGTTGCTCTTTCATCTCCTTAAGTTCAATTTCCTTCTCCCACAACTGGCACCTGATGACACACAAACCAAAACATAAGAATTTGAACAGGGAGTAGGAAATTGGCATCAAACATACAGAAAAGAACTACCTTTTCACTGCTAATTTCAGTTACTGAAACTCATCTTTATTCATGCAAAATACCTAATATGCATCCCATGTTCCCTTTTACCCCAAAAAAGAATGCATCTTCCCCAAGTAATTAAGTCAAGAAATAATCCATTTCTTCTATTTTATTTTGTAATTTGATTTTTTTTTCTTTTTATAATTTTGTATGATGGAATTTCCTATAAACATTATCAATTTTAATCCATTTGGTAGAGTTTTTAATCATCCATCAGGCGCTGAGTGTACCTAGATCAGTATATCAGTTCTCAGATCAATTTCAATTTTGGGGACAATGGTATGACAATAATATTAAAGTCCAGAGGACCAACAAATTGAACTGAAGTAATTGAGATCAATACTAGATAAGAAATAAACACCTTGCATCTGCAGCCGCATTAAACATGTACTGAAGCAAGCTTTTTGCATCCCCCATTGTTCGCAATTGATTCCAACGTCCACGGCTTGTAAATGCGCGCTCCCTCTCTTCTGCCTCTGAAAGTTGTGATGCCATTGCTACAAGTGTATTTGAAGAAATACCCAGCATGTTTTCAAGTGAAGAAATTCTTGCCATTCTTGCATTTGGTGACATGGAGGACACTCTGAGCAAACAGAAACAAGGAAAGACCCATTCAAATGTACTGATAAAAAAAGACCCATTTCAAATGAAGCATTCTACTCCATTAAAGCAACTTGTCATTTTAGAAGTTCCACAGTATCTTCTCCATTAACTCCCACATAACGAAAAGAATAGATTTGAAGTAGATCTAAAAGATGATTTTCCTCGTCTGGATACCTTGAATATCCATTATTTCCTTTTGGAGGAGTGAGGCCCTTTGAAGCAAACCCATCAACTTGCTTCAATACAGCTAATTCTTCAGCTAGCGCAGCTCGCCTGGAGAGTAAATTACACAACTGAGACATTCAAAGGATGTTCAATTAAATTTACCAAATAGTGGAAATACTTGGGTAAGCTGAATTTTGAATACATACACTTGGCTCTGCTTTTCATATTCAAAACGAACTTCATGAACATTCACCATGACTTCTAGCTCATGCTCAAGCCACCGTTGTAAGGATTTTTCATTGCTCTAAGAAATGCAACTCAGGTTTACCATTGCTTATCAAGGCAAAGAATATGTAAAATATAATCAAGAAAGATGAGAAATCCTTAAAAAAAATGAATTACCTGGCCATTTGGCATATTTCCATTGGCAGAACCTGGAAGGGACAGCAAATGATTAGGGAATTAGAACATAGAAGACAAAGCAAAACTCCAAGAAAAATTGTTTACCTGAACTCTCACGTCCTGAAGACTTGCGTGCTTCCAGCAATTCTTTTAGCCTCTTCGTGGCCATTGCAGCCTCTTCTGTCTTTCTTTGAAGAACCTATATGAGAGAAGAATATAGAAAACTCTGAGACACTAAATCTCTGAGAAGAAACATCTTAATGGTTGTATATATGGTATATAAAATCAAGATGAAGTGATTTTATATATCTGCACCGAAGAGTTCTGAACTGAATGAAAATTGCACATCAATGCCATAGTCATGGTCCCAATATACAAATATAATACCAATAACAAAGAAAAGACAACATTCTCCATTTTGTGAGGAAAAAGAAACACCAAACGAAATTCTAGACCATAAAAACATAAAAGGTCTTTAAATCCTAAAAGCATGTGCATATAAGAACACTCAGGTGTGAATGGTTGTGCATTTAAGGTTTAGGGGGATGGAGATTTGGAGAATTAGTTCAGAAATGAATGCTTAAAACAAGGATTATTGTAGCACCAGAAAAATGAACATGATGAATGATTGTCTGGACTAATACAGCAATCATGCTATCCAGTGTAAAACAACCCTATGAAAATTATAATAGCTCAAGGACAACGGCGGTTCTTCGGAAATTAATATATAGATAAGAAGGCTCATTGGTCATAGGTGTATAGGCAGCCATACAAAACAAGCAGTAGGCAGGACTGAACTCTTTCGGGGAATGTTGCGGGATGTCCATGTAATAACATGAAAACTAAGTGGATTTGTTTTGTGTGTTTCTTCTTTTCTTCTAGATGTGGGGAATCTCTCCCCCTTTGGGGATGCTTGGCATCTTGACATACCTGTTTTATTCATTAATAAAATCTTTCTGTTATTAATAAAAAACAGTTTGTCTTTATTGCTAAATTTTTTCATTATTTTATTCTCCAAGTGCTTGGAAAGAAGAAGAACAAAGGAACAAAAACACACACACAACAGAGAAAGCGCACCATTTTCTGGCGTTGATTCAAAGCTTGCAGTTTATGCCGTTCATACTCATTTCTCCTTCCCTCTTTCCGCAACTGTTCAGAAAAATTATCATAAAAAATAAAATTAACATAATTCTAGGAATAACATCATACATGAAATCAAGACATGCTCATGCCATGATTGCATAAGTAACATATATATTGCTAGTAAACTCATTTATAGAAATCCAAAATGATCAGGAATCTTCAGTGTGGCAATATGATTGGAAGCCCTGCCCTAAAGCCCTTGTCATTTGTCCAATCTAAGCCTTTACCTGGGGACTAGTAAATTTATTAGTGGAATGGATTGTATTTCAATTCCAGTAACCAGTTTGTGGAAAGAAGCAAAACAAAGAAAAGACACTTAAAAGTTTTACCAGAGGCATTAGCTTAGGAACAAATCAGCTATTCAAGCCTATGCAGTAGTGCTTAGATGAGCCTGAACTAGGCAACTGTCTCATTTTCAGGAAGCCAGCTATACAACTACACGCAGTTGGGTATCATTCAGTTAAGCAAATGCCGGATAACAGGAAACAATATTGTAGAGAAGATGGGCCGAATGGCCCATAGGTTGTTTAGTCTTTCCTGTTATTTATGTTTCTTTTCTGTAATGGGCCTTATTCTGGGCCCATCCTGTCTATATTAAGTTCTGTGTAAATTCTTGCCCAACTAAGGGCCTCCTTGTAATTATTCAAATATATCTTAATAAAAGAGTGTTAGGGTGCTGAGAGAGTAAAGGTTCGAAACTCTCATTCTGAGACCCTCATTGCTGAACTCTCAAGCTCTCCTCTCTTCAATTTTCTTCAAATATTTCTCAAATGTTAAAAGAAATTGCTTTGGAACTACTACAATTTTAAAGCCCTTCCCAATGCTTTAAAGTTGTCAGGCTCTTTTCCAGATTTAAACCAAAAACTGGAGGAGTTGAAAGAAACAAAAAGGTTGAGACTAAAATATTTTGAAAGAGCATCCTTAATCTTCTATATTTTATGAAGAAAGCCTCTCACCTACCAAGCATAATGTGAATCCAATTCCCACGACATTTTCCTAGTACCCCAAAGTATTCCTCTATTTATATAATCATTGGAAATGAAAGAAACCAGGTACACCTTCCTTAGGTGGGTGAATATTTCCTTGTGCCTTTTGAGCAGGTGGTGAGTTTCAAATATGACAACTTTCCTAATATGCTCAAAGTTTTCCTCCATTAGAAGTTCACGATTTATTTTAAAATTGACGAGAATCAGACCTTTATGGGTACAACTGCATGAAGCTGGCTCTTCATCTTATGAACAGGAGCCGAGTTTTAAACATTATTACATTTCCCCAGTAACACAATATAGTTCTCTTCATCAGATACACCTCTCTTAAAGGGGGTCAAGCAATGACGAAGGTACCCTCCATCTTTGCAACAGATCATAAGTTTCAAATATCACTACTTTTAAGTAATGTTTTAAAATGCAGAGGCATGACATGAGACAACATTCCACCATTCTAAGGCATGAGGTTTAAAACAAATGCAAGAGGCATAAGCCTCCCAAGAATGGATTTTTTTAATTAATAAATAATTAAAACAAATAAATAGATAGATAAATAAATATAGTTAATATCCCAAAAAAGGAAAAATTATGAGACAATAGAAAATTTCATATTTGCAATTCATAATGATAAAACCATTACATTTAAATGTAAAGTTGAAATATCAACACAAGAAGTATCACAATCCATATGAGCAACCATCAATACATAACTTACCAAATTGTAAATCTGAATTGAAGAATTAACACTTTGCATAAATTGCATAAACAAGTTTGTCATCTCATATTCAAATGAATGTATAGCATTGAAAGCAATCAAGGTAATAGTACCCACACTTCTATTTATAGTATTCTATTACAGATATAAACAAGGTTGAAGGGTTTTCCTCCCTTGTATTATGTTAATATGTAATGGGGAACATGATGAAATATCTCCCCCACTTTTATTTATAATATTTTATTATAAATATTGGCATAAAAGGTAAGAGCACATAAGGCATATGCCAAGTGTCTCCAGGCTAGAGGCATATGCCTCTGCTGTATGCCTCCAGGCATCTTCTTAGCTCCTTGCTTGGAGGTAATGCCTTCAGTGCCTTTTAAAACATGGATTTTGATTTTTGACCAACATCCTGAAACACTCCTCAATTTAAAGCAAGGATTTTCTACTTTAAGATTCAGAAATTGCCAGATATGTGCTCCTCATTTTTTTTTCACCATACCACTTTGGAGTTTGATCTACATGTCATTTATTTAGAGCATAAACCTTTTAATTTCACAGAATCCACATGAAATGTGATGCTTTGTAGCATTCGGTGAATTGCAGCCTTAAACATGAGGAGAAAACATCCAAGATGGGAGCCAAAGATTTATATTGACCCAGGAATTTCATTATAATGTATGCAATTTGCCTTTGAGAAACTCCACTTAGGTTGACCAAAGAAAAGCAGAAGTCCACAAGTCTTTGCATACATGATATTGGTATGGCTAAAAGCATGTTCAATGGGAGAAGACATGTTATTCTAGAATAAGAAGGCCAAAGATATCCTGTATCTCGAAAAGTAACTTCATTGGAAATGGAATTTAATTCTTATGAATTTCTGTCATTGAAAGCCCCAATTTCACACATAATTTTTCACATGAAATGTCATGGACAAAAAATTCTACATGTGGCTAGGGTCAGAAGTAGAACTACAACACTAGAAAGGCTTTTTCTTTTCTTTTCTTTTCTTTTCTTTTCTTTTTTTTTTTTTTGAGATGATGCAAGGTATACTTGTATACTGGAAAGACTTTTAAATGTTCCTAAATTGCTAAAGTGCCTGGCAAAGACATGAGGTGACAACCTGGTCAAAATGGAAAATCTTGGGACAAGAGAATGACCTTCAAAGGACATGTGAAATAAAAGGAGCAATGTCAAAAGAGTGATATATGTATGCTAGACTGCTAGTGCCTGTTGGGATTGCCTTTAAGTTGTTACCATAGGAATCAAGTCAACAAATACGTTCATATAGGCTGTTTTACAATATAAATAACTGTATAATCTTCATCTTTTAAGTTATTGCAGAAGCAGGCCAATACTGAGGTTGACATGGACTTTTTAGAAGCATCCATAACTGCAACTTCAGTTGCTAACTATCTCATAAAACTGTCAAAATTTAGGGACAGAACAAAGTTTATAACTTATAAGTCATCTCTGAGCTTCCTCAAGTAGATAAGGAAACCAGTGTTTATGTGCATGATTAGACACAGCCATAACCAACACTGAGGCTCATCCAGGCATTTTGACAATATTGGCTAGTGCAAAGTTCAGTTATTCAACATCCCTAATGGTTGCTACAAATATTAATAATAATTGAGAAACATGGTTATGTAAATAGTAAAATAGTGATTTTTGAGTACCTGCAGCAGCTCCTTCTCACGAGAGGCCTTCCACTGTCGAAATTGTTCAGCCTCTTGTTTTATCTTATGTTGCAATTGAACCTACAGTTTCAGGATCAATTAGCAGAGAATAAAATCATATGAAAAATTACACTAAATGAGAATAAGATGATTGGAGGCCAAAATAAGGGCCAACCTTCTGTGCCTTGATAAACTGTATTTCATCTTGTAGTCGCTTTGCTGCTTCATCACTTCTTTGCTTTTGCTTTAAAATCTGAACTTGACTTTCTTGTTTCTTTTTGAGATCCGAAATCTGAAGTACATAAATCATTAACTGTTTCAAATTTTTGGATGGTATCATGATAAGATTGTCAACAATCTTAGAGAAATCATACTGTGACCTGTGCCTCAAGTGCCTTTAATTTCTGTGCATGAATATCTTGCATTTTCTGTGTTTGTCCATCAGAAGTGGCAGCAAGGCTTTCAACTTCAGCTAGCAACCGGTCCCTTTCTTGCTGTGGTTGTGTACAAGTAACAACAAAGCTATCATATTTTTTATGAGAAGCAATAAGCACAGAAAACCAAGAATAGAATCCAAGCTATTATATGTAACCTGCACAGTTCTTTTCTCATCCTCAAGTTCCATGATCTTTTTACTAAAATGCTGCTTAAGTGTAGCAGTGTCGAATCCCTCAAACATTTTCATCTCGGACTGCAAAATTGAATTAAAAAAAAAAACTTAGAAAGATAGAAGCAGAATGCAAAGAGGAAAAAAAAAGATTATGAATCTTGAAGGTTAAAAGTTATCAGTTTTTCTTAAAGAAAAACCGGATTGTAATTTGTAGATGCCTCTCAATCAGAAACAACACAAATTTACAGTAACAGGACATGATAACAGAAGCATCTCATCACTTGTATCGACCAAAAAGCATCACATGACTTAAGTGTTATGGACATGCTTGAACAGATAGGCAGATAGGTAACAATGGCATGGAAACCACATGGAACTCTAAGAACCAAATAAGTCATGTAATATTGACATAAACGGAGGGATCCATATCAGAAGGACTGGTGGTATCTTAATTCAAAAATCTACAGGCTAAAACTTTTATGTCTCATATCTTCTAAAATTGTTCACCATCAAATGTCACTCTTGTAGTTTTCTCACTCATAGATCATGGTACTGGCCTCTCAAGAAAATACCTTGTTATTGAACTAGAAAAAAAGAAGAAAAAAAAAACAAACTCACCTAATAAAAAATAGTAAATGAAGAATGGAAATTCAAAATGTCAACAGTTAAATAAAAAAAGTAAATGAAGAATGTTTCACAGAAATTGTTTTTATGTTTCTGATATTATGCTCTTATTCATTTTTTTCCTCTTTTGCTACATAAACTTTGAATTCCCAACTACAAGATTAACTTGCCATTTTGAATTTAAGCATAAAGCATGTAACAGCAATAATAACAAGAACCTCCCTGAATCATAATATTTTTACAACACTTAGCTATTGAGAAATGTTCCTTGAAAGATTTAGATGTATATCTACAACATTAAATTGCATGTAGCTTAGATAAAAAAACGTATGTAGAAAAGCTTTTCAACATTACCTCCTTTTGCTCCAAGCGCTTATTTAATTCATTCAGCTCTTTGTCCATGGTATTTTGCAAAAGTGTATGCTCCCACTCTTTTGCTACTTCTTCATCAATTTCCTTGGAATTTTCACCTGCTGAAATTGGCATATAAAGGATTAAATTTATAAACCACCAAAAATGAATGTTACAATAGACAAGACTTTAAAAGGATCAATAATAACTAAAAAAGTGCTCATTCTTCAGATTTCCAATGGATCTACATGGTTGGACCAGCTAGATTAGATTGAGATAACAGATTAAGTGGCATACATGCTGTGGTCTCAACCATTTGATAATCAGATGACTCCATATTCTGCAAACCCCTCTTTAGTCCATCGTATCTCACAAAACAGGTGTTACCATCCTGACATGTTAATACTAAATTAACATTCATGTAGAAAAACATAACTAAGTCCAAACTGATTGGAAGAAAATGGGGATATGTTAAATAAAGTTAACTTCCTAACATCACTAAAAAACTGGGAAAATCAATAATGGTAACTGCTGATAAGAAAAATAAAGGGTCATTTACTAGAACATCCCTTATAGTTTCACAGATTTACTTAAACCTACCCTATAGTTTGTATTTTACTAAAACACCCCTTATATTTTGCAACATGTTTACTTAATCGACCATTCATTAAAAACTATTTGTTTTGCCATCTGAAAATAGTATCATGATCACCTAAACTAAGTGGAAAATGTTCAAGGGCATGGACCCATGGTTGTTTATTCCAAAAATACCCCTAAACTGAGTGGAAAATGTTCAAGGGTATGGATCTATAGTTATTTATTCCAGTACCCCTGACAATTGACCAAATAGAGAAAAATAGAGTGGTTGTTTGTGTTTTATTAGGGGCAAAATTGGTATTTTTGTTTTTTGTTTCTTTTGATTAAATTGATTTGAATGGACGTTAGAGTTAAAACTGTCATTTTCCACTTTCATCTAATGGAAGGTCAATTAAGTAAATTGATTGCAAAATATAGGGGATGTTTTAGTAAAACACAAACTATAGGGTAGGTTTTAGTAAATTCATGAATAGGGGGTATTTTAGTAAATGACCCAAAAATAAACTGTTGTAATACTTGAATATCTCCTTCGCATTGCTCCACTAAAGCACATCTGCTGCGGTACACATGAAGCTCCCTGCAAAGATCCTCGTTTGTGGACTCTAGCCAAGCAACTCTTTCCTTGAGAGCCTACACAACCAAAAATTACCAAGGAATTACAGATTGTATTACTGTATTATAAGCATTGCCTAACAAAAGAAATACAAGTTTAATATTTATAGAGCCTAGATACCTGGACTTCATCAGATGAAGCTCCTCCCCCACGAGCACAAAGTAATTCAGCCTGCAGGTATTCAAGTTGCTGACGCATCCTTTGCATTTCACTGGAAATTGGATCTCGATTAACCTGTACAGCAAAGTAAGAAATGCCTATAAGGCATTTGGAATTTGCATAGAGCAGGCCAGATAACTCTCTATCTACATATAGAGTACTAAGAATACACACACACACACAGCAGATCCAGAATTGTGCTCACTATCTACATATATATGGTAAATCTAGGTCATCTGTATGTGCTCACTTTCTCCAGTCCCCATGAATTGTGTACCCACCATTTGTTGAGCCTTTTCCATGTGATATTAGTGGTTAAAAGCTCTAATCATTTTATTTGAAATTACCCCAAGAAAAGGGCTTAGTTTAGACAAATGGTAGCAAGGTTAAAAATTTCAATACAATACATCATACACCCCGTATCAGGCATATTGTATTGTATCATTAGCTGACCAAAACGCCTTTTTGAAGGCTTTTCCATAAACTTGGGTTTTTAAGTGTTAAATACCCTTAAAACCGACCCCCCCTGTAAAAATATCAGAGTCAAAATAAATAATGTCTTAAAGTATCGAAACATCAATACTTTAAACCTTGAACGGTAGGTGCTGTTAAAACTAAAACTTGCATCTTATAGCTAGTGGAGAGGGAAGAGGGCAAAAGCCCTTTAGGGTACCAACCATTTTTTTTCTTTTTCTTTTTCATTTTCTTTTTTTTTTTTTGATAAGTACCAACCATTTTTTCCTCACATATAAGATACCTTGAAGACAGGTAATCCAAGAAATAGCCTGCCCATGATTTAGGAGAATACAGTCAAAAGAAAAACTTACAATAGGCTTATTCTGAATGTTGCGAGCACGGTTAGCATATTTGAGAGTGTTAAGAGTTTCCTCAGCATTAATATCAGCTGGACTGATGCAGGCTGGAAAAAGAACATATTGTAAGAATAAGACAAAAGCATGATAGATCATCTTTTTTCCCAAACCAACCTACAGCAAGCAAGTAACAATCTTTTGATGCAGAAGAGTAAACACATGGCTCTCAGAAGAACAATAAGAGAATAAAGAAAGAAACATCAAATGCAAAATGAACACCTCCCACCATAAGGGGCAACAAATCCTTGCAGTTGATAAGTAAGATTCACAGGCAGGTGCCACAGCTGTGGCAGCTTTATCTCTAATTTCTGTCAAACTCTCCAAAGTGTTTTTAAGGAAAACTCAAAAATAGGTGGTCATGCTGCTCTAAAGAACATATGAGCCCCAATTGTCAGGTTGCATAAGGTCTATTTTATTTGAGTTTCTTTAACAGTTGGGCCATTTTTTTAAGTACATAGATGCTTTTCCTTGATGGTAGAACTTGTATAAAGTGCTCCTATTTTTATTCTAACTTGTAACAGGAAATTCATTCTATTTAGAATTAATAGCTATATCTATAAAGTCAATAAAATATATTAAATTTTCTGGTTTCTTCAAGAAATTCCTCATAATGTGGTGCCAACTCTGTAAAGACTAATTAATTCAGACTCCATAGAGGCCTTAAATTGATTTTTTTTTATAATTAGGCCTTAAATTGCATATTGATGAGTGTATCATGTCAATTTGGAACTTGGATGCTCTTATTTGGATGGATCAAAGGATAGTAAACTGTAATTGGTTTTTTTGTGGTGGGGGGGTAATGCTTCTCTTTTCTTATGGGGCATCAAACATGCAAATGTTAATTTTTTAACAGGCACATGTATATGGGGTACCAAAGTGATCCACTTTATGCCAGGGCCAGGGGGCTCAACTGTTGTTACATTTTATTGCATTGACACTGTCAGCATGGTTGTATAGTATTTTACTGTCTTCCAAGGCATCTTGGAGAGTAGTGTTCTACTCTTTATATACCTTCTCCATTAACAATTACTGTTGCTAGCACAACTAGCACATTAACATACCTTTTTTTATCATTTAACCTACAGCACAATTTTAACAACAAAAATAGTGAGATAATACCTATCATAACAGTTCTGCTATTTCCGCCAAGTGAATCCTGCCAAAAAATGCATAACTGAAACTTAGAAATTTACCAAATAAAAAAAAAGTTGACAATTCAAACACTTCCTGAAGAAATAGAGGTATCTTTATCTCTATTAGTAAAGGCCAATAAATATCCTGTGCAAGTGTCAAACCTGATAAGTCAGGTTCCAATTAATATTTTCACATTATGTGAACCTAACAAGACCATCTCTAAGGCATACAATCTAAACATTTTGGATTACATTAGGGACAAACAGAGAGGACATAACATACACTTTGAAGCCTTGACCCTAGTGGGTGTGATCACTAAGAGCTTCTTGAAAGGAACTTTCTTGTATATAGGGTATGCAACTTCATTTTTAAATGTCACATGAGGTGTCTGTGCATGTGTGGAGAGAGAGAAACAGGCAGAATCGGTGTAGACAACCCAAACAGTCAGGATGAGGCAGTAAGTATGTCAAAGTCAAACTATTGTCCATTGTGTGTGTAAACTGGCCATTTATAATTTTAAAACTATATTAAACCTGTAAGAGTCGAGTAAGTTTACTGTCCCTATAAGGAACATGCATGCCTTCCTTCCGTTTTTTCTCATCTCCAAGTGCACTTATAACATTGCCAAGTGCTAGAAGCCCCTTGTTAATGTGAACTCCTGTTAAAACAGAACCGAGAATATATAAGACACTTTTATGACCCAAAGAGCACGTTTAGATCTATTAAATCTTTCAAATATCCACTGACCTTCTTTAAAACGAAGACCATCAGAACCTGTCCTTTTAGCACGCTCTGATCCAGCAAGATCTACCAAATGGAGCTTTGCACATAAATACTCCTCAGCCAAATCTTCATTTGGGTTAGCATTGCCAGGTGAAGCCGGATGGACTTTGCGCATCTGCTCCAATGTGATTGTGAAGATAGCATGCGAACGACTTTTACAAAAATAGAATAGGGAAGCTAAGTAAAGTCAGAGTAGCAATTGAAGATTAAAGAGTGAGATTTCAGTCATAACATGAAATAGACATATACGACATTAACATTCATCTCTTGAATTCACATCCCAAAACAAAGACCAGAAAAAAAAGAAAAAAAAAAAAAAAGATATGCTTTAGCATCAATGGCATGATATCCAGGTAGAAAAAGGAGACCCAGTATTTCTGAACCAGACAAGGACAGTAGTATTTCCCTGCCTAACATCACACCTAATTCCTATAGAAATATTATGAAATATGAACAGTATTTTTTATCAGCAAAATATGAACAGTATTCAATTTCATAAGCTGGGACCAACAATGGGTAGTGGCCTTTTTATTCAATTCCATAAGCTCTTTATTCTCCAAACCTAAACAATTAATTGCACTATTGCTTGGTGCAGTGGTAAAATATCAGGCTGAGAAGACTGAGAATACAGGTTTGAGCTTGAGAGCAGCCACTTCATGCAAAAAATGCCAGAGGGTAGGTCCATATCCAGTCCACTGCTCCCAAGACCCCAGATTGCCAGGACAAAACACTGCATAATGGTCCTACATGACATCAAAGTGATTTGACTCTTTTATTGGAGATTGTACATCAGTTATCAGAGCCCCACATTCCAAGTAAAAGCACACTCCATCTCTGAAATTTGGCCATGTCAAACACTTTTTTTTGAAAGGAAAGGTGTGATTGTATTGATCAAACAAAATATATACAAAAAAGGCCCTTTGTACATGGTTTCTGCGTCAATCAAAAAGAGTTACTAATCACAGCTTCCACAGGGTTCTTTTTCACTTCAAAAATTCAAGAGTTTCTCTCTAGCCATATTGCCCAAAGAATGGCCAAGGGAACAGAAGACAACAGAACTTTGCCCTCTTGTTCATACCCTTGATATGCCATTCCAAGAATAGAGCAGACATCAAGCCAGAGGACACCATTGAGGTACCTGCTGGAAATGTTGCCATATTCTACTCAAGTGACTTCAGTGAAGAAAAAGGTGGCTAGAGTTCTCAGCTTCCTGCTCACTGAATGTGCAGAAAGTTATCAATGTGCCAAACACATATTGATACTCATGTATCAGACACAACTTAACAATTCCACACAGACAAATTTTAATTTATCAAAGCCCCGATTTCAACAATTATTTATGTACCATTGTATGAGTATTTATGTCAATCCAGTGTGTTTGACTCTTACATCCAAGTTAAACAGTAAGTAATTATTGCACCCTAGTTTACAATATATTTTTGTAAGCATGCACCAAACTGTACTGGAAGTTCAAATGGACAGGAAAAGGGATCCATTGAAGGAAAACAATAGCAACTTGAAGATAATCTAAAACCCAAATGTTATACAAGAATAAGAAACTTGGAAGCTTGGAGCATGGATAGGAGAGACAGTGATTTATCTATAAAAGGGGGCAGGTATATGCTGAGCACCTAAAATGGAAAAGCAATCAGAAAGAATGCTTGTGGAAGATGGAGCTGGACCACTCTTCTTAGGTTCTTAGGGTGGCAATTGTTGGAACCAGAGAGAGAGAAAGAGAGCTCCACCCCAACAAAGTTTAGCAACAAGTCCTTTAAGACTTGCATTGGATTGATAACTTAAAGGAAACTCAATTTATGTTTCAATGCCACTAAAGTCGTAGCTTTAAGAAAAATAAACAAGCAATGATCTACATGAATCCGTTAAAATTGCATATAGTCTTATCTATATTCATCAAGATTCAAAGAATGAGGCAACCTGCCTAAGGTTGCTGTTCCAAGAGTGCCCATAATTATTAAAAATTCCATCCCATGCAGTTTTGTTTCTTTCAGAATACAGTGCTTCAAAAAGCAGCAAGAGTCACATAATATTTCATCCTTAGCCAGAAAGTCTTGCACATGACTAAGACTCAAAAAAATTTTATGGCATCTTAGAACCATCACTAGGTGAAGGTGCAACTGTGCAATGTAGTTGAAACAAGCCAGATATGGATTCATCCATAAAATATTGCTGACTTGAACAATATAATGCACTACAATAAATGAAATTACGCAGCTTTTATGGTGAAAATTACAATTATTCAGAATTCAGATTTGTTGAATACATTTTTCAGTATCCACGGAAACTCAGGTTTCTGGTTAAAGAAGCTAGAGACTTTGGCTGAAAGCCTAAAATCTTTGTTCAGGTCTACAGCTAACAGTCTAGCATACTAGTGAAAATTTTATAAGGGGAATGCCTGGATCAGGGTTTGAATTGTAAAAACTCCCACTTCTGCTGTACTGTAATCAGCAAATTGCTGTTTTACTTTGTAGCTTTTGGCTACCCTAATTTGGATAGTTTATTGCATTTTATTTTGCTAAAAAATTTCTTGATGTTGATATATATATATATATATAGAGAGAGAGAGAGAGAGAGAGAGAGAGATGTATATGTATCATTAATCAGACTTATCTGGTACCTGTACCACATAAGTAAGAAAGATGATTAAAAATATATTTTCCTTACATCAGAGTTCACTAATCAAATTCATTCCAAGAATGGGAAAACAGTCTCATCAAGGCATGTGATTTATTATTATTTAGAAGCAAAAAACAATTATAATAATTTTTTTTTGAGAAAAAATTACAACAAAAAAAGCAGTTTGTGTTAACCTGGACTGATTGTTCATGTTTGTACTCCCAGTTGCCCTACTCAATGATCCTTGCTCTAAGCAAGTAGCCATCTCTTTTAGTGTACTAACAGCAACTTCAGTTGACCCTGCCAGTGTAATAACTCCATTTGAATTCTCACGAATTTGTATGGGTGGTTTCCCAGGGACTGTTACTTTTGCAGCATGTCCATTAGCAGTTTCTGGTTTGCCCATAGATGTTGGATCCAGCAAGTCTCGCACTTCTTCTTTTAGAATCTTCAAATTCAAACCTTCTAGTTACTTTCTATAATAAAAGAAGACAGCATGATATAGAACAAATTCTCAAGCCAGTACAGGAATACAAGGGACATCTACATATAACTTAACATAGATATCCTAGTGAATGAGAACATGAAGCATGATGGTAGACTTATTAAAGCAGAAATATATCAGTTTGGCAAAGAGGTTAAAGGAGCATAATAACACACACTATTATACATATAAAAGTAAAACTAGGGAACTTGTAATTAAGTCATCAAAAACATAAGAGCTCCAGACTTATTTAGCCATGTGTTGCAAGCCATCACACACAACAAGCATCAAAACAAAAATCACATGGAAGTCTCATACTTGCCATTTACAAGACAAGTGGCACAAGGGGCAGAATGAATCTAATAAAGATAATCCAATCTAAAGTTCTCATTCCAGCTTAGGTGATTTAACAAACCACATATAGTGGATTAGATTGTTTAGAGCATCTCTTCCTTTCTCGTGTCCTGAGCCAATTGGAGGACTACAAGATCTAGTAGGCACAGCATCGTAATTTATATTTGTCAGAATAGACCAATTCATATCATGCCGTGACTTGCACTTGTCTTGAACTTCATAGGATCCACATCCAATTGTTACCCAAACTGAATCCAAGTACAGCTAACCCAACACTGCCACCAAAACTTGACACAACTAATTTGGTACCAGTATGGAATGACTTGATAGGACTGCATAAGGGCAGGCTTCTTGTAACCAACAAGAGTTGTTAAGGGACATTAGGTCTGGAAAAAAACAAATATATATTAGATTCATAATGTGGTTACAAGTAGGAGTTATGAATCTCAGGATTTAAAATTTTCACCTCTGGCTTTTATTTTACAATCCAGGAACTTTGGGGGTGGGTGGAGTAATGAGGGACAGCAAGGGTAATATTTTTGGAGTTGAAGATTCAACAAGGGCAAAAGTATGTGCAGTGGGGAAAGGGTTAAAAGGAGCAAAGCTACTAAACTTCAGGAATTTCACCTCTGGCTTTTCTTTTGCAATCCAGGAGCTTCAGGGGTGGACAAAGTGCATTTCAAAAAAAAAAAGAGGGGTGCGCAGAGTCATCAGGAACACCAAGGGTAATATTTTGGCTTTGTTTTCAGGTCCTATATGAGTTGGGGATTCAACAAGGGAAGAGACATGTGCAGTGTGGCAAGGATTAAAAAGAGAAAAGCTGCTAAACTTCAAGAACATAATCATAGAGGGGGACTCAAGTTGTAACAAGGTGGCTGCCAAAACAACCAAAAGGGATTGTCGAAGCATAGATATATGCTATGGGAAATTAAAGCTCTCGTGCAGGAATTGGGCCGAAAGGTTGAATGGGTTCACAAATCTGTAAACAGGCTAGCAGATGGCTTGGCAAAATAGTGGGTAGAGAGGGAGCAGCTTTATGGGGTCCAGTACTCTTAACAGGGGGAATTGTATTTGATGAATATCTAAAGCTAGCGTCCTTTCTACTTCACTTGCAATTGTACCTTTTCTCATCGATCAATAAAATTGAATGGTCCAAGCGTCTTGATGTTATTGATTCCTTCAAAGTTTTGCTAGGTACTAGTTACTGGGTTATCTTTGTTCCATTTCAAGTCTTTGATTCTAGATTTCTTGGACAATTACCATAGTTCATATTATTTCTTTTGCACATTACAATTTCTTTCCATGGACACCTAACAATTCTTGGGGCCCATTATAGAAAAATCCTACCCATTCTATGTCACCATATGAGCTTGAAAATATATCCATCTTGATGCTTGTAAATTTATTCTTTCTGTGTTGTATAATGTATTTAAGTTATTTACCAATTATAAAAGTTACGGGCTATATCGATGCCAAAATGTGTCCTATGCTGAGAACCAAAAAAAAAGTCAATAGGAGAGAATTATATAGCATTCTGCCTTGTTTATGATATGGATACTGCTATTTTGGTTGACAATAAATTTCTATCAACAAAGTTCATGAAGTCAGTAGCTGCAAAGAAAAAAGATTTCACAAACCTCAATGAAGGAGACATGTAATTGAAATTCAGCTTGATGCTTTGACATTTCTATCTTGCTGAACAGTGCATTCATAACTTGAGGGATTAATCCTGTTTGACAACCATCTCTAAAGCCAGTTCCCATAGTATATGTTTTTCCAGACCCCGTCTACAGCACATTGAAACAACAAATACTTAATGGGAAATTAAACCTCAGGCAGATTTTGTTTCATTTAATTTGTTTTCAAATGAAAAGTGGAAAGCTTTACCTGACCATAGGCAAGAACAGTGGCATTATATCCTTGGAACAAACCATCAACAAGTGGAGCAATGCACTCTTCAAACATTGCAGATGATGGAGAACCACTACTTCCATAGACATGATCAAAAGTGAATGAATGGGTGCCTAGCTGGACCTGTCCCATGGTTACAATTAACAGCAAACATTTCTTTTATGAGAATTCAGAAAACCCTCAGCATTTGCAATAAACTACTGCATTTCAAGTAAAAAAGACATCAAAGCATCAGTCTTTTTGAAGGTTCATAAAACTAATATATATATATATCCACACTCCACACTTATCCACCTATCCATTTCAAGATCACATTTTAGCCCAGATATGTAAATGTAGGGCCTTATCCAATGTTGGTCATGGCTATCCCAGGTCTTGGCAGGGGTGAACTGGATAAGATCTAATTCTAGCGTTTTTCTTGTACAAAGTTGTCATTCTCAGACTCAAACCTTATTTTACACTTGTCATCCAAAGAAGTTGAAAAAAGTGGCCACTCTCATTTCCTGCATCTGAAAATTTCACATCCATGAGAAATCCACTCTCTGGGCTTCTATTTACCCATTAGGATAGAGAAATTGGCAAGGGCTAGATAGAGTGCACATGACAGTAAATCTAACCTTACATTTCAGAAGTCCTAAATTTTATTAAAGTTTTTCAGTTAGATAAACTAACTGGGTTAAGTCTAAAATCCTCTTTTGGGAAAGGAATGGCAAACTGGACCTAATTAACCACTTTTGATCACTGATGCAGGAGAAATATATCTATATGCAGCATGAAGAATAGCTGGAAAAAGTAAAGATGAAAAATTCGGTTAGAGGCACAATCAAAATTTCATGGTGAAGTATAACTGCCTCAAGGGTTTTGTGAAGATATCTTGAAGTAATTTTTTTCTGAAAAAACTAGATGGAGCTATCGGGGGAGAGCTGGAGGGGGGTTGTAGAATCAATACCACTAGAAAATTCTCAGTAGAACGCTACTAAAATCTGCTGCTTCTTAAAAAAAAAGAAGAAAAAAATCTAGGTACTACTGAACCAGCTCAACTCAAGTCAAATCAGAATTAATCCTAAGACCCAATTATTTGGGAGCAGCTATAGGTATTATGGAACTAAAACAGGAAAAAAAAAAAAAACAGAAAATAATTTTTTACTGGTAACACCCTCAGATTTATTGCTTAAAGAAACACGAGTCTACAATTGAACAATATGTGTCCAGCATTCCAGGTAATCTAGGCTGGTAAAATACATATAGCCCTCATTACACTATATTTATGTTCTTCAGTCTTATGGGGAAACAGCTCCCCAAAACAGAATGTTTCATTGTACTCCATATCTAAACAAAGGATCATCTAGGCAATTGATTGATCTTACTACCCATATAGAATTTCATGTCCAACATCCTTACTAGTTTCCTCACTTGACAGATAGTATACCCAGTACTGCAAAGGTCTCATACTGCCATTTATGAACCAGCCCACTACCACCTTGGAATCTCCTTCTACCAGTCTACCACTACTATTCTATGGCTGAGAGATTTCCTTAATCTTAACCTTCGGAACAGTGCTAACAATTTTGTCCTTCTCCTATCCCAATTGGCCCTGAGAATATAGTCATTATCCATCCCCAATCATTCCTAAATACTCCTCCAATACCCTACTTACCTAGATTACCAAACTATGTCTATCAAAATTTAATTTCATGAGGTGTTGTGCCAAATGCATCCACCTAATACTGATATTATTTCTAGCAGTGGAAGAAGTTGAAATGTAAACAAAAGAAAATCAATTGCTCTTGCTTCTTTGTCTTCATTCACTAATTCAAACCAATACCTTTCACAACGCCCATACAACAAAGCAGCATAGAATTCTTACTTGACCAAGTGGCTAAGAAACTAATCCCCATCATCCGTCAAGATTAATTTAATTATAACACCAATAGCAATGAAATTATCCATATAGCCCACCACAATTTCTCTAATTAAATGTTTGGCAATGTTTTATAGCGATGGGGGATGAAATAGGTTTTCAGGGCTGTATGGACATCTATAATTTCAACAAGGTGGAGGCCCTAGATTCTCAACAAGGGTTCAGAACTGTTAGAGGGCTTTGATGTATTGTTTGTAGTTTTTCAATGTGATAGCTAGGAACAGATAGCATGTTTGTCAAGGTTTCTAGTATGCCAAACAAGTTGACGGAGGGCTAAACAAACAAGGAGGCCTGAAATTGATTCGGAAGAGAACTGCCAGAACCTACATGGAACACAAATTGTGGCTAGAAATAGCAGAAATCTGAAGGCCAAAAATTCAAGCCAGGATCCACTGAAGAAGGAAAAGAAAGATGAAAAGAGATACAAACAACCGGGAGGTAACAGAGTGCACTCAGAATGGAAACTATTAACTGATTAACCCAAAATACTTATAAAAAACGAAGGACAGTAACGCAACGAGTTTTGATTTTCCGATTCCTTCCCCCCCCCCCCCAAAAAAAAAGCACAAATACAACGTTCAAAAAGAAAAGGAAATTTTATGAGTTTGCAAATTGATACATTGCGAAATTAAGAAAGAAAAAAACCAGAAAACCGTACGAATTTTCAAACAGTTCCAGGCAAACATCCGCAGAGAGGAGAGAGTGGAAGGAACGAGGTTTAATTGCATCCCGAGAATCAGAGCATGCAATAACACAAGACGGGCTTAATTGGGTGTAAACATAGGATCATTGTAGCAAAGCAAGCAAGCAAGCATTCATGTACGGGGCACTAAAGCACGGGTGAGTCAAAAATTAGGACTGTCAGTTTGCTATAAGGGGAATGTAGTTTTCCGAGACAAGAAAAGAAAAAAATTTCAGAATTCTTAATGTCTTTATGCTTCCTCGGATCCAGATCTCCTTAAACATTGCTGATCCGCAGCGCCATGAGAAAGACACATAAATTTCCAGAGGAGACCAAACCATAAGCCAAGGATTTTATTATGCCTTCAATTCCTTGTGTCTTCCGAGGAATGCAACTCTCCCGATCTAACAAGGCTCCAACCGAGGGAAAGGAGAAAAGCAGAGTGTGAACACACACACACACACATTCGAGCAAATGTGAGTACCTGGGGCTTGCCGGGAACGATGGTGACACAATCTTTACATCCTTGAAGCCGTTCATCACCGATGAGCGGACGGATGTGAACGGCGACCTTGACGCAGCAATCCTCCGCAGTATCCATAGGTAGTACCACCAGTGTACAACAGAGAGGGACAAGCAGAGAAAGAAAGGGAGTAGAGACTGAAACACTATAGTACTACGCCTAGAAAATAAGTCCCATTGTCCGGAAAATCAGAGATACAAGGAGAAGAAAACGATGAAGAGAGAAGTTGGGTGAGAGCGAGAGGGTGGTATGGAGCTCATCAAAAGTTAAAGTTAATGAGAGAGGAAGAAGAGGCGAGTAACTGCAACGACAACAACCACTATCATTTTCCTTGGTCTTCACTGCACACCCGTCAGCCAGCCTGACTTGGTGGCGCTGGTGGTAGTCTTCATTCTGGTGCTCAAACTTTTTCAACACTCTTTCCCAAAATGCCCTCTTACCTCTCAACTGCACTCTGCACTACCCAAGAAGCTCCTCCCTCCTCCCAATTAAAACAATTAAAAAATATTAAAGTGACCTCTGACCCTCCCATCCCCTCCCCTTCCCTCCTCCCTCCATTCCCCCATTATTACTGTAACACTGTTTTTACGCTTTTACTGCTCCCCCACCCCAACACATACCACCTTCCACTACCTCCATCCGTCTTCTCTCTCTCTCAATTTCTCAACTTTTACTGTAGAGATGATCAACATATACATGTATAATTTATAGTACATAACAAAGCTTTTTTTTATTGGCCAAAGTCCTTTTTTTTAAGCACTTCCTTTCTGTTTCAAACTGGACTGAAATGCAGTGTTATTGCTGTTGTTATTGTTTATGCAAAATGAAGAAAAAAAAAATAGAACCTTTTAATGCAGCATTAAATTAAATAAATTAAAAAATGGGGGATGAAGTAAAAGACAAGCCACATGGTTCGGAATCTAGTAAGCTTCCTGCCTCATTATATGAATATAAACAATATATGGCTTTAAATGGAAGTGTTGTACACTGTACAGGGAAGGGAGAGTGAAATGATGGTATTTGGTATATACGTACAATAGTGATGATGGTCGATGGATCATGAATTACAGAGTATGATGGCAGATTGCTGACTGCTATTTATGTACTCGTATATCGTAGTATTCTCAAGATACCGATTACGGAATGCGAATGCTTTAAACTTTAATAAAGAAGAAGAAATTAGTTACGGCAGGAGGGTGTCAATTGTGGTAAATATGTCAGATGGCAGGGATGGATTCCTAGGCATATAAACACCATGAGCTCCACTTTATAAAGAAGACGCTCGCTAGTTGCCGGGATCCGGGGACTGGGGTTGGGATTGGGATTGGGATGAGGGGCTGGGAGAGAGAGAGAGAGATGGGAGTGAGGGGAGGAGCGTCCCAGCAAGTTTGGATAGCGACGGGAGGTAAGGAAACTAGTAAAGCGAGAGGTCCGAAAAGCAAGCCCCACCCTTCGCCACAACAACAAACAGTCGGTGGGCTCCCCCCTCACATGCTCTCGTTTTTCAGTCTCTTCTTACCCAAGTGGACCCCCCCCCTCACATTCTCCTTCATCTTCACCACTCCCGATTCCGAGTCTTACCTCCTTCTTTGTAGTATTTCTGTGCCCCCGGAGCCCAATCCTCCACTGGGCACTGGAGGCCTCCTCCAGTCTTCCTCTTCCTCTTCCTAATATTTTTTTTTTCTTAATTTTATAATAATCGACGGTTTTTATTATTTTTTTTTCCGCAAGTGAAGTGCCACCAAGAAAAACTGAAAAAGAAAGAAGCAGTTATCCAATCTGGAGTAGCTCCTTTATTCCGTTGCTGTCGTCGTGCATGTTCTATTACTTTTAATCTTTATTTCTTTTTTTTTTTCGCTCTCTAAAATAAAAGGTCTCATGACTCATCACATTACCTGTCTCACATGCCTTCTGTTATTTAACTTAACCACACGGGATTGGCCTAACACACCCTCCAGCCTCGATGACCGCCGTTATCTGCCGTTAATGCGGACCATCTTTTCTCCGGCAGCAACGCCGTGAGTAACGGTTAAATTTTGGGGCCTACATAATTGAATCTGGCCATACACGTGGTCCCACTCCTGGATTGCAATTATCTCTCTATGGTAGACCATCAAAAGATCACATGGTACCATCGGCCCACCATCTTTGCTTAGGACCTCGCCTCGCGTTGGACCTGAAACTAAAAAAAAATCAGTTGATGGCTTGATGCAAGGAAAGGAACGAATTGATCTTGGGATCTATGAGCATGAGCTTAACCAAGGGTTGGGGGTTGGGGCGTTGGGCCCATATATGATATCTTGGAAGTTTTTTCTACAAGCTGAGGCAGCTGCCACACAACAAGTCTACAACACAAAGCTCTCAGTTTTCTTTTTATCGTTTTGGTTCTTCCGCTATTATCAACTACAAAATATTTCTTTTTCCGACTTTTTATCTTTTGTCCTTTTTAATGCAGGGTAAAGACGACGCTTACTTATAAAGCTTATTTATTTTGGCAACAAGTGTGAAATATATATATATATATATATTTATATATAGAGAGATGATGGTATTCATTGATGTATGCCCCCACATGTCTCTCATGTTTCAACGTTTCCTTGTAATGCGGTAGCATGCAAGCTAAGCAAACCTCCACCCCCCACCCCGACTATTATCTCTTCCTGCTCTTCTTTATCTGGAAGGAAGAAAGTAAGAGAGAAAGAGAGGACAAAATGATATGAACCCCAATTTTCTTTTCTCCTACCAACCTCTTTCTCTTTGGGTTCTCCCAAGTCTACCGTTAGCGAGGATTCAGACCTTCTAACAATACAATTAAGATAGACCCATTTTCGAACAATTTATAGATATCGTGTGACATAGACTATAGTATTTAATTAAGGGACCAATAAGAAATGATTTAAACACAATTATATATATATATATAAACAGGATTCATGTAGCCAATCCCATATAATTAGGAAAAGAATTAAATGATGATGGTCTAATTAATTAAGAGAACTATGTTGGTATAGACATATACAAAAACATGAAAAATCTCATATCTGTTGATCTTGCTCTTTAGTATGTTCAGGGGTCATTTGACATCTTCATCCCAACTTACCTACCAATAGAATAAAAATATTTTTGTAAGGATGATACTGCTTAATCACTTCATAGTGCGTGTTTGTTGTGTCATTTCATTGTTAGTTTGATGTCGCTTCATTTCAACTTTAGACTTTTTTTCCGGAAGGTCCTTTGGAAGCAAAAGAAATCTTAAACACTCAACGTGACTATGATTGGTGAAGTCTCAGAAAAGGTTATTAGAAATCACTTACAAATACATCAAGATATGTATTACAAGGTTTGTGATGAATTAATTTGAGTGGGCGTTTGGAATAACCAATTTGATTTCTGAAGGAATATAATGGGTGCCACAGAAGAGCACTAATTCTAAAGAGAGGGTATATATATTGATCCTACTACTAGTAGGAAGGGAACACTTTCGGTTATTTACTTATTCCTTGAAAGTACTGTCTGAGTATTTTGTGGTAGCTTTATTTACAAGACTTGGACGGTACGTAGAGCTCTCTCACCGATCTGAAATCTAAGATGATCATAATTGAAAGCAAATATAGATTGCATTGTGAAGAGAGAAAGGGAGGGAGAGGGAGAGGGAGAGGGAGAGAGAGAGAGACCCATGTGATGGCTGGTTGGAACAAATTTTTCATTTTTTATATATACAGAAAGCCAAATCACACCAGTATAAGTCAGCATCAGCCACAACTAACGCTAAATAAATACGACAGAAGCTGCAATTTAAAGCACCCTCAGTCGATCTAAACCGCTTTTTTGGTGCAACACCTTTGGATGAGACATGCATCCAACAAGAACGTCCCTGTAGATATATTAAACACCCAATCTTAGTAGTGGTTTTAAAACTTGGTTGACCATAGAACTCAATTGCATTGAAGGAAGCAGTAGCCCGTTCATCATTTAATTTATGTGTCTGCGTAGTCTTATTTTGTTTTAACTGGTCCCTTGGAGAGGTGACCAACTGATATGATCAAAATGATTACAACTGCGGACCATAGCCATTAATATGTTTGACACGGCCGGAGCCTTCATTTCATCATGAATTTCCCATAAAGAAAGATGATGCTAGCTAGCTAGCTAGGATCTTCTAATTAATTTCAATTATATATACATAGAGGGTGGATGAACTGAACTTGTTGGCCGGCTGTGTTAGTAGCTAATGTAACCAATAATAATGCCCCATGTCCAGCGGTGGAGGAGTTTGGCTTGGTGAGTGTAAGCCCATGTTCACACCATTGAAACAGCTTCTTGCAATTTTGTATTAGGAATATCTCTCCATTAAATATAAGTATGAAAATATTCTCAATGTAAGACTGTTCTAGCGAGCATTGCATTGACCAAAGCCGGACTCGTGGCTGAGGGGAGCCATGGCTCCTTATGCCTTGAAAATTCCTACAACCCCATTGATATCCCATTTATATTTTTGCCCCCCCCCCCACCCCCCA